ACGACTTAGACTTTGTGTCGTGTCAAAAGAAAACAGTGCTATACATACTAATTGGATGAGATAATCTGGTATTTTTGAAGTACTGTGCTGTTAGAGATGTATAAAGCACCTGTACTTAACAAAAATAACTAAAAATACAGTGACAAAAAAAAACTTTGGTAAAAATAATTTCATGAATAAGAAAAGTACTTCAGTAAAAGTCACAATACTGCTCACAATAATCTGAAAAGTAAAAATACTTACACATTAAAAATGTTTTTTAAAAAGTTTAGAATTTATTTGACCAAGTTACGTTATCTGGTTCAACTAAACTGAGTTGAGTAAATGTAAAGGATTTTACTAAGTTCGGTTTAGTGGAACCGGTTGACATAACTTGGTCAAATGAATTTAACACTTCTTTTTATTTTTTTTTTGGACAACTTTTTTCATTAAGATATTAGCAGGTTAGGGTTAGGGTTACGTAGAAATTAAAATATGACTACAACGGTCATATTTAAATTTTTGCAACATATATAACAGTGTGTTAAATTTTAAAGAACTAAAAGTATATTTTTATGTTTTAAATTTAATGAAATTAAAGCAAGAGTTACAATTTAAAGAAACACAGATACTAGGCCCCGCTAGGCCRCCAACAACACCCGCTGTCGGGGTCTGGATGCGCTCAAATCTCGGTTTTTGCGCATGGATCTCTGCTTGGTGTTTCGCCTATACTGTATCTCCGCGGGGGAGAATCATAGAGACTCGCCTCCACTTTTGAATTAAAGCTGAGATCCAGGCCTGTCCACTGATGTGAGACATTTGGCTAGACTAATGGTTAACTGAACGAGGGTCTATTCTTAATTTTTCAGGCCTATAAGAGAATTCTCTGTTAAAAATGTCATGCCTGCGTGAAAGAACTCTACTATAATTAATACAACCCTAATTTACATAGGTGTAATTTGCAGGGGGGTTAGTGGGGTTATGACCCCCACAATAATTTAATCTGGTCAATATAACCCCTCTAATAAAATGACATCATTTGCTCAAACACAACAGAAATTACCTGGTTGAGTACACAGATGAAACACTCGTTGTCTTTAGGTAACGACCTGATTTAAAAATGTTACGATGTCTTATGTAGGCTACATTTAAACATAATTACTGAAAATGACATACAGGGTTTTAGAGCATACCCCCACCGCCCTTGCTAATTTGTAAAAGTAAGGACATTGAGTAAAATGTAAATAAAACTGCAATTTCCAAATCTCAATCTTACATTCTATTCATTCAATAAACATATCAAATATTTAAACTGAGAAATTGTACCTTTTTGGAAAAGAAATCGGGTGACTCTGATGGCAGCAACGCCTCAAACAAAATAGGATGGTGCAACAAAAGCTGCAAAAGGAATAAATAGCATTTTGATTAACAGTTCAGCTAGACGTCCCATTATGGTGGTTTTATTTTGTTCCACTGTTTCTATTGATAGGAAATCTGGTTGTATTTAAAAAAAAATCACTTCAAAAATGACCAGATTACCCAGGACTCCACACACGTGCAGGTGATATCTGTCAGCTTTAACAGTTTCTGTGATTCCTACGTTTCGTTTCCACTCGAGCAGCACACAAAGGAATAAACTGTGTTGTGTAAAAGAGTGAAGGCCTAWTAGCTCGTGAAAGCATCAGATGATATTTAGGTCACCGTGGCTCAAACATCTGCTGGCTTAGGTGGCAGCCTGGGATTATAACTAGGCATCACAGGCTTGGTCAGCATTTCATCGCCGCCGGAAGCCTCCTACCCTCCCACTCTCATCTTAACCCAAATCACTCACAGAAATTGAGAAGCAGCAACATAAACATGAACTCTGARTGTATGACAGCCATTATGTCACAGTGTGATGCTTCAGCCAGTGGATTTACAGACTGACCTGATTCTGCTGGCAACTGACTTTCATTTGTTAAACCTGGGAGGCCAAGGCAGGGAATCCTTACAGGGCGCCGCCTGCTGGTCGATTCCGGTACACTTCATGATGATAGCAGAATCTATGGTATGCACAGTGTATTATTTTCTGTTTTCTCTTTATTCAGAGCAAATATCCAATTTCAAATTGCCCAATTAACATAAAATAATATATAGAAAGAATGAAAATGTCCTGATGCATCTCAGTAATCCAGGTAAAAAATCAAAAGGAAAAAAAAATGTATAGGTCCTCTGGACGGGTTCTTTAATGAAACGTTTCGTCTCTCTTCCAAGAGACTTCTTCAGTCTGAGAGTTTCAGGCAAAATTCAGGCTTTTTGAGTCCTGCCTCCATGTGACTGATACTCACATCACATGCTATCGTTCACACCTAATTAATACCTATTGTTAACAGGGGGTGGAGTGATACTGCCAATGGCAGCGCTGTACGAGGGGGACAACTGAAAACGGAGGCCTCCACCTCTGTTTAATGATGGACGGTCTTTCTTCACAAAAATGGCTTGAAAATGTAAATAAATAGGGTAACCTTTAGGAAACAAACATTCAGTAGATTTAGTAAAACCACATTAACGATCGTGAATTGTTTTTATCTGGATTCTTAGACAAACATAATATTGGATGATATGCCATGCAGAGATGTTATAACTGCAAACACCTAAGTAAATAAATCAAAGTAAAGTAAATCAAACGAGTTCTAAAGTTAATTAGTTTCTGGTACATTTAACTGCAGAGAACAAGACAGTGTGGGCTTGTTTGTGTATAACACAAAAACAATTTCTTTTATAAAAGCCTCGAAGTTGTGATAAATGGCTTAACTTGATGTACAAACACCACTGCCAAAGTTTGGATAACTATTTCAGTAGAAATATTATATCRCAATCAAAGAGAAATAAAATATTTTCATTAAATTCAAACATAATCATCTTCCATTTTCACCAGCTTCATCTAAAATGTGTGAACTGAAACTAAACTTCCAGGCTGAGTAAAACAGCTCTGATTATAAAAAAAATAATAGCATCTCCCTGGAGCTTCAGATAACAACAGAAACTCCAACTGCTGCAGTGGTCGTGTAAAGTTTGGAAAATGGGGGG